AGAATACTTAAAGATAATGTGTGCACTATAATTAAATAAGTTTGTTTAAATAAAACATGTAAAATGTATATATGTTTTTTAAAATGATACTGAATTATAAAATATAAAAAATATATTTTGAAACAAATAAATAGTTTAAATATTTCTTTTTATTATGATATTGAATTATAAAATATACAAAATATATTTTGAAATAGTTTAAATATTTCTTTTTATTCTTTAAAAACACTATTATTTATATACTATTAAATATATTTTACAGTTATATTTATAATAATATAGATGTAAAATAGATTTAAAGATGATGTGTGCACCTTAAGTAATAGATTAGATTTGTAGCAATAGCCAAAAATACATTGTATGGGTTAAAATGATTGATTTTTCTTTTATGCCAAAAATCATTAGGATATTAAGTAAAGATCATGTTCCATGAAGATATTTTGTAAATTTCCTACCGTAAATATATAAAAACAGCATTTTTGATTAGTAATATGCATTGCTGAGAACTTCATTTTGGACAACTTTAAAGGTGATTTTCTCAATATTTTGATTTTTTTTGCACCCTCAGATTCCAGATTTTCAAATAGTTGTATCTCGTCGAAATATTGTCCTATCCTAACTAACCATACATCAATGGAAAGCTTATTTACTCATCTTTCAGATGATGTATAAATCTCAATTTCGAAAAATTGACCCTTATGACTGGTTTTGTGGTCCAGGGTCACATATTTAAAATATATTATAAAGTGCTATGTACACTATAAAGCAGGCCCATGCCTTTTGGGGGATGAAATCTGTGGAAATGCCTTGATTTGATGTCATTTTTGTACTTTTACATTTTACATTTATTCATTCAGCAGATGCTTTTATCCAAAGTGACTTAATTTACAGTATTTTAATCATATTTAGTGCAGGAAACACTAACTAAAATGTACTTTAGGGATGAAAAAATCCACAAAACTGTACGACGTTACAGATACGCAGGTTCCATGAATCCTTTTCAATCAACCTCCGATTCTTGACAGCCAAGAGATTTCCTAGACATCTCAATCATAAATCCTAACAAAAGGCCAGCGAAGTACGCCAATCTGCTTCACAGATCTCTGGTGATCACCGAATGACCTTTTGCGTGTCTCAGCCCAATTATTCAAGTAGCAGATAAAAGAACGCCATGCATCTTGTGTGTTTCAGACTAACAGAGGAACTACTGTTCATCCAGAGCCCAGGAGAATCGCTCCTGCTGCGAAGCTTTATTCAAGATTAACATTCTCACTAGCTTTATTACCAACGTAACCCCGGCCAGTCTCACAAATTAACCTAAAAGCTCCATTTGAATGTGGAATAAGGTCTATTTTCCTCGCAGGAAATGGACTGAAAGCTCATCCAGATGGTCCCTCTGCAGGATAATCCAAAGCAAACGTTACAGTACACTGTTGTGAGGAGCATACTTATCTTCTTTGCGAGGATTTTTTCGGGAAATGCTAAACACAAATATACAACTTTTGGGACGACCAGAACCAAATTAAATAAACGCAAGATGGAGGATTTTTGTAGGGGTTCGCTCAAAAGCAAGTGATCTGAGCCACGAGGCACCGCTGTGTTCAATCGGTAATTAAGAGTGAAATCCTTCATTGTGTGGGAAATGTGCCATTTGAATGCCTTAATCTACTGCATTGAAGGGATTACAACACATGACCTGCCTGGCCAAAATGAAAATTGATGTCTTCCCGAATTACCTCCATCATTGAGCATAAATGTAGTTTATCGCACAAATTGGTTTGGTACACTCTCTCCAGAGACAATGAAGCACTATAAATCTGCGAATGCTGCCCTGACACAGTTGCACAAAGATCATCCGGTCCAAACAAACCACAATACCTTATGTTTCAGGTGGTATTTATCAAAGAACTTGTAGAGAAACAATAATGGAAAGAGGAAAGGAAATGAGGGGGAACAAAAGCAAGAAATGTCACGATTCACGCTGAATATGTCAAGAGAATGAGCGCTAACCATTAAACCAGGGCTCCAATGTTGGCATGCTGTTAAAGAAAAACTGGAAATATATAAATTGATTTTCATATTGTGCAAAAAGACACAAAATCAATGGAAATGAAGGAAGATATATAAATCCATGCTATTTTTTCAATTAAATGTATAACTTAATTTGATAAATGCTGATCATATTTGTATTTTTTATTATTAAAAAGACTAAATAAAGCCAATAGTGGTCTTTGAATATAATTTAAATGTATATATAAATATATGCATACTACTGTTCAAATCTTTGGGGTCAGTAAGATTTTTTTTAATTTTTTTTATTTCAAGGATGCATTATATGGGTCATTTATAATTTATATTCATCAAAGAATCCTGGGAAAAAAATGTATCACTGTTTCCACAATCATATTAATCAGCACAACTGTTTAAAACATTAATAATAAGTTGAAATGTTTCTAGAGCACCAAATCAGCATATTAGAATAATTTCTGAAGGATCATGTGACACTGAAGACTGGAGTAATGATGCTGAAAATTCAGCTTTGCATCACAGCAATAAATTATACTTTAAAATATATTAAAACATAAAACAATTATTTTAAATTGTAATAATATTTCACAATATTGCTGTTTTTACTGTACTTTTTATTAAATAAATGCAGCCTCGGTGACCATATGAGACTTCTTTCAAAAACATTTCAAAAATCTTACCGACCAAAATGGTAACATCATTATTAATTTAACTATTTTTTTATGTTTTAAGTTCTTCAAAATCTGAAACGTTTCATTTTCTCCAGGTTGAAAAGAAATGAATCTCCCGGTTTCAGTGTGATTTCAGATTTTTGGACCCCTCTATACATTGGGTAGTCACATTATAAGACATAGAGGTTCAATTTCATTAGTACTTACACTCTAAGCCATCACCGTTTGTGTAAGAATTGACTTAAATTGCTACACTTTTACCATGCTGAAACTGCATTTGTACTCACGTTGTGCTTGGTGAGGGCAGAAATGTTTGAAGCTATTGCTTGAAGCCAGTCGGTGCATTCGTCAGTACTGGGGCACTGAATTACCCCGCTGCACACCCCATCCACAGCAATGACTTGAAAGGCATTTTGCCTGGAGAAATGTAAAATATGCGCACTCAGGAGACATTCCACAAAATGCAAAAAGTAGCTAACTAAGGTCTAATTCTCCTTTTTCAATTCACTTTAATTCAAAGCAATTTAAAAAACAGATTGATTTAATTCAATACAATTTAAGAGTTTTCAATTACGTTCCACTTGATGTGCAAAAAAGGTCTCATTTCAAACAGCTTAACCTCATCAAAGTTTGCATTTGGTATTAAAGGTCTAATGTGGTTCATTTGGGAATGGCTGTGAATTAATATAACCCCTAAAATACTAATCAAGGAAAATCCTGTGTGACTAGAATACAAACAGAATTACCAGATGAAAGCAAGAGCAAAATACATCACATTAGGCACTGCAACTCTACAAACGACTGTAAGTGCTATCAAAGCCAAAGACAAAACAGAGACATTTATTGTGTGGTTCCTGCTCAGCTCACCTGCAAATATCAGAACCTGGGACGTACTGGGACAGACGCGCATGCAAGAGGGGGATGAGACGGAGATCCACCCATCTCTTCTCCCAGCGCAACCCCGGAGACATCGGCCAAGACGAGCAAGACAATGTGTCCTGCCACATACATGGAGATTAGAGATTAAGATGACAGACAGATAGACAGACAGATAGATGACAGACAGACAGATAGACGATAGACAGACAGATAGACGATAGACAGACAGACAGACAGACAGACAGACAGACAGATAGATAGATAGATAGATAGATAGATAGATAGATAGATAGATAGATAGATAGATAGATAGATAGATAGATAGATAGATAGATAGATAGATAGAGACAG